AGTAGTACTTATTATATGCCAGCACTATTCTAAGCACTTTACATATATTGGCTTACTCAGTACTTATAAGAACCAAATAAGTTGTTACTATTATTTCTAATTTATTCTCTTTCCCATCAAAAGGCTGAATTTATATTGGGAGCTATATTTGAACATCTAAATGTCATTTTCTCTGAATAGTACTTATTATATGCCAGCACTATTCTAAGCACTTTACATATATTGGCTTACTCAGTACTTATAAGAACCAAATAAGTTGTTACTATTATTACTTCCATCATGTAGACAAGGAAAGGGAGGCACAGAGGGGTTAAGCAAGTTGCCCAAGATCACACAGCTACTAAGTTTTCAAGCCTAGACTAGCTGACTACGGAGTTGCACTGTTAACTCCTAAGTTATACTGCATTTCAGAAAGTTCTTCCCTGACTACAATCTAAGTTAGGATCCCTTTTATTTGCTAGCACTCCATTTATTTCTGCCTGCGCACAAGTCACACTTTAAAATCATGAATTAATTTATTCGTTTAATATCTGTCTCCTTCTCTAGACTCTTTCTCTTTGAGAGCAAGAACAATTTCATCCATTTTATGCCTTTTCACTGCCGTATACCCAGTGCCTAGCATACAGTAGATGCTTAACAGACGTTGAACGAATGAACGCATAAAAGGTGAAGAAAAATGTTTCCTTCATGGAGTGATGTCTCCATCTTGTGGAACATTGAAATACTGTCATTTAAATCACTTTCTTAAAAAAAAATTAGGTTTGCACAAGAGAATTGATGTTCAAGTGCTATTTCCCAGACTTATATTAGAGTCTTTTTTGTTGTTGTTGTCCGAGTGGCTTTTTGTGATTTTTAGTGCTCTAGAATAGCACAGCCTCTTCAGGGCATGCCTGTCACCTGTTAGGTTTGGTTGGTGAAATGAATTGTGCAACTAGGTAATTAATGGGCACCGCTTTACGTCCAGAACTCGTTTGCTTTTACTTTGCCAAACGGTAGAGCACCGATTCATTAATAAGCTTTTGGCTCAGAATGATCTCTCAGGCACATTCAGAGCCCCTTTCTTGCAGCATTCATATCGCTATTTAAGGAGTCTGTCGGCCAGCAACCCCCAACTCCTTATCATACATTCCTCACGGTGTATGAGGGCTAAAATAGAAATTGTGTACAGAAATAGCCCCGGCCCTACCATCATACACTAGGAGAGAGAGGCAAATTAAGCTCCATTAGAAACCCTAGGTTTATCTTGTATGATATTTTGCACACACAATCTGGAATAATTAAAAAAATACTATACTAGTATGTTAAAAGCTACTTCCCTGATCTACTTATTGGACAGCTCATTTTATGAAGTTAGCATAACCTTGCTCTTCAAACCAGAAATGGACAAAAAATAGAAGGAAAACTTTTAGGTCAGTCTGATTATAAACGCAGATTATAAATTAAGATTCCGTATTTTTCCTCCTTTAATCTAGGTCCTACCCTAGTCCTCTCATTTTAACCAGCAACAGCGGTTGGAAGCCGGAAATTTCGGATACCAGCGAGAGCCGCTCCTTCCTCACGATTCTATGGTTTTTCCGGTTACTCTCGCCGCTGAGAACTCTATGGTTCCGGGGCGGGCCTGGAGGCCTGAGTTTGAAGACCAGCGGGAAGATGGTGACCACACCTGTCACCAGGCCAGGATTCTCCGGAGCGATAGGGCGCTGGGACTGTGGCTTGAGCTGAATAGCCGAGAAGGGTTCGCAATGAATCTGACGCGTCGGAGTGGGAAACGGCGGCGTTCAGCGTCAAGCTCGGACTCGTTATTGGGAAGCGGCGGTGACAGCAGTGTCAGCCCACTGTTCTTCTCTGGGTCTGTGCTGAGCCCGCCCTTAGGCCTGGGACGCTGCCTGAAGGACCGAGGCGGTCAGTCGGCCGCAGCTGCAGGTATTCCCACGCATCCTGGAGGCTGCAGGCGAGGTGGGAAGCTCCGCCGGGCCATGTGTCGGGAGATGTCCTCACCGCGTGGAGCTTGCTTGCTCGCACAGCCCACTGAGCTCCTACTTTTTCTCTGGGACTCAGGCCTGGTGGGGCAGGTTACTTTCTGTTCAGAGATAGGCGTGTTTCAGTGACCGCCTGGTAGTAATGTTCAAGTGCCTCTTGGTTTTTCAACCTTTACGGAAACAACCTCCTATTTGGCCAAACCCCATCACCTGTAGAGGGGCTCGCTCCTCATAGTGCCCAGTACTCCTTACAGATCCTTAAACCGCTTTTCAGGTCTTGAGTATGGGCACAGGACGTGGGAGTCCAGGGGAAGACGGGACAGAATTTATAACATTTTCTTAGATTAGTTGGGTGTCCGGTGAATGTTGACCCAATTCTTTACTTAAGGTTGGTTGTGCAGTCATGGTATACTAAACTTTAAATAGAAACTTCCCTAACTTAGCTTTGGAATGCTTGCACATCGCCTGCGTCCCTCCTTTGCCCTCCCCATAATTCCAGCACTTCTTATCCATTGTGTATAGCACAATTTTTTGTTTGGGGCTTTTTAAAAAATTATATCCAATAAATAACAATTTACTGTTACTTTTCTATACATGGCCAATTTCTCATAAGCTTCTTGAAGTCAAGTGTGCTTTAAATAGCTTCATTCCAACACACAGTGGAGGGCTATTGAAGTCATATGTTAGAAGTAGAACTAAATTAAACTATTACTTTTCTTTTTCCTGAAAGGGGAGTGCAAGCAGACAGTTGCTGACGACCAAATAGACAAGCTGCTATTGGAAAATTGGGGACTTCCTAAAGCAGTTCTGGACAAATATCACAGTTTTGGTGTAAAAAAGATGTTTGAATGGCAGGCAGAGTGTCTCTTGCTTGGACAAGTCCTGGAAGGAAAGAATTTAGTTTATTCAGGTATTCAAATTTATGCAAACTAATTTCTTTACTATTTTTAAGATATTATGAATGTAATAATGATAGGAATGATACTCTATTGTGGTAGTTATGGTTTTTTTTTTAAAGGTAGATGAGGCAGTGCTTTGTAACTAGAGAATGTCTTGAAATATGTATGAAAATTGGAGTTTTAGCATATGCGTATTTCAATTATGAAAGTTATGTGGCTGGCAGGGGGAAAGCAAGAAAAATTACAACATAAAGAGTGAGCAGTTCTGCCTGCTGTTCTGCTCAACAAACATGTCCCAGAGTGAATGTGTCATGGGAGATGTAAATTGGCTATTCCTCCATTTGATCTTAGTTGCTTTTCAGGGTATGAACACTATACATTATATGTTTATAAAGTGACTTGCTTATACAGGGTTGTATATACAAAATCATATGTAATATATTTTATAGGAGTTTTTTTTGCCTTTGATTCTGAATATAGGAGATTTATATGGGGTTTCAAGGGCAACTTTGACATACACAATTTTTAACCTGTGCCTACTACACTGACTTTAGAATCTAATTATTTGGTGAGATGCAATTCCTTTGTGTCAGTTTTCTCTGAAATCGTGAGTCACTTAGCTTTTTCATTTGGCCACAAAAAAGAATTAAAGAAACCAGTAGATACAAGTTCAGGCTGTGGAGCTAGACTGATCAGGTTTGAAAACTATCACTGGCTGCGCAGCCTTGCAAATTACTTAGTGTGTGTTTGTGAGAGTGTGTGACTTGGTAGCACTTAGGGAGGACTATATTATTTCATATATATAAGAGGTCGGAACAGTTTATTTTTTTGGTATGTAGGAAGTACTCAAAAATGCTAACAGTGGTAGTTAGTGGTAGTGGTAGAAATGGCCTAACCATTTTAATTGCTTAAAACCAAAACTTGGGCGTCATTCATAACTCTGATCACCACTCACACACTTAATTACCAAGTCCTGTGTCTGTTACCTCAATTATCTCTTGATTCTGACTACTTTCTGTTCTTAGGTTCATTACCTGGTACAGCTCACTATATCATCTTTCTTCTAGATTATGTGATAGCTTTGTAGCTAGTTTAGCTTTTTCCTCTGGTCTTGTTCTGCTCCTGCAGCCAAAGTGATCTTTATAAAGAACAAATATGATCCTGTCACTCCCTTTTATAAAACTCATCGTCATTCTGCCTTTCTTTCAGGATAAAGTCTCAACTCCTTACATGGAGAGATTAAAAACCTTCTCCATGTGGCACTTTCATATCTCTTTTTCACTCTCCTGCAGTACTTTATGCTCCAGGCTTACTAAATTACATACTGTCATCTCCACAAGCCAGGCTTTCCTCTAGGCCTTTGCACATGCTGTTTCTTATGCTTTAGCATTCCTTTCCTCTTCCTTTATTCCTTCCCTTCTCGTAGTTCTATTTCCTTTCCGTAAGCTTCGTTGTAGAGCTACTCTCCCTCAACTTCCACTGTAGCTCCTATCATGATATATTAAAGTTGTTCATCATCTTCCTCAAAGCAGGAGTTTTAACCATTTGGTACTTAAAGGAAACGATCTTAGGTGTAAGCTAGGTACTCAATAATACTCATCATTTACTGCTGTTATAAAGATTTGTTTACTCTTATTTTTAGTACGAGACTATTTAGACAGGTGGTTTAAAGTCAGAGGTATTTCAGGATATAAAGGTTTCAAATGCTAGTTGGGGCCTTAATGATAGGTTAGCCTTAGGCTCTGTAGTACTAGATATGGTTTAAAATATTTATTAATGCAGTGTACTAAATATTACTTATTTTTGTTATAACCTTTTGGAATAATCATTTTTTAGCTCCTACAAGTGCTGGGAAGACTCTTGTTGCAGAATTACTTATTTTGAAGCGGGTTTTGGAAATGCGCAAGAAAGTTTTGTTTATTCTTCCCTTTGTTTCTGTGGCTAAAGAGAAGAAATACTATCTCCAGGTAATGTTCTCGTACTAAGTTTGAAATAGTGAAAGGCCCATTATTGGCAGACTTGGCTTTATTCATTTAAAATAGAATTATGAAAGCAAGTAGAAAGCAAAGTTTCTTTTATTGCATCCTGTATAGCTTTAACAGTTGACTGTTAAAAATTTACAGAAGGGAACTAAAAAAATTATTATTGTATAAAGGAGAAAGGGCCATCGAATTAAAAGAGTAATTGGTGAAAACTGTGTAAAATTTTGGAAACTTTTCCTTAGGGAGTAATCAGAATACTTCAATTAGCATATAAACATGAAAATTAAGAATCAGCATTTTAACTGAATTCTAGGACTGGACTGAAGCAAAGAAAGGAAAGAGTGTTTAAGGAATCATATCCCATGCTAGTTGAGGGCCATTTGGGAATATTTAGGAGATGAAGGACAAGATCCGTTGGTACTGATGTAGAGCTCCAAGTTTGTGGTCTGTTCCTCTTCTCCTGTGAAAATGAGTAATAGTGGTTTATGTTGATAAGATACTCACTAATTTTTAAGGCATTTTCACAAATACAGTGTTTCATTACATAGAGTAAATTTACTATTGTGATTTCTGCAGTGAAAAAATTGTGCTGATGGAATGGAAAGATCATTGTACTGATAGTTCAAAAAATCTGGATGCTAGTCCCAGTTTGCCACTGTGTCTTCAGGCCAGGCACATGACCTGCTGGGCTTCAGTTTTTTTATTTGTAAAATGAGAATGTTAACCCTTAGCACTGTGGGTTAACTTAATAAACTCTCAAGGAAATTTTACTGAATGAACAGCTCTAAAATTCTATGGTTCTATAAATCTTTTTAACAGTTATTTCAGAGGCCAAATAGCCAACAAAGCTGGTCCTACACGGTAACATCTCTCAACTTAGACCCAAAGTAACAAAATGATGAAAGGATCCTTTTTATTGAGAAGGTATGTTAGTTAAGAGTTAAACTCACAAAAAAAAATTAATTTCAAAGTCCCACTGAATTTGGCTTTTAAAAACTTTTCTTCCATTACATAAGAAAATGGTCATTAGAGGGATAATGAAACTATTTTCCTCATGAAGTATAAATTTGTTTCTTAAAGTGTTATATAAAAAATAGCTAGTTTCTTGCTATTTATTAGATATTTTCCAATTTTAATTTCTATAAATAACTCTTAGAATTTTTTAGATTATTAAATGCTGCCATTAAAATGGCATAATTTTATTTGACTCTGTCTTAACCGAAATCTCTGTACTGAGTTTTGTCAGTTCTAAACTTTATATTTTTAGTATACGATTCTAAAAAGAACTAGGTGTTGTCTTGGCCAGGAAAACTGACAAATCTGATTGATGTCTTTTGATACTTATGTTTATGTTCTGGGATAGAACCATTCTATAACCATTCTATAAATGAATTTCAATTTTTTTCACCTGTATTGTTCCTTTTTACTCAATTCAGAGTCTGTTTCAGGAAGTAGGAATAAAAGTAGACGGTTATATGGGCAGTACCTCTCCAATGGGGCATTTCTCTTCCTTGGATATTGTAGTCTGCACAATTGAGAGAGCCAATGGTCTGATCAATCGCCTCATAGAGGAAAATAAGATGGATCTGTTAGGTAAGAAAATGAGAAAATAAGCAAATACTTTCTATTGCTATTTTTGGATGGAGTGAAGTAGAGTTGTGATTTCTACATGGCCCATGTTGTTTTTCTATTGTCTGTCATCTACTTCTGGAGGTGAGAATTGGCATCTGTAATATTGGGGACTTTGTGTGTAAAAAAGTGTAAGTTTTGTGTCCCGCTACTGTTACTGACTCCACTACCTTGCATTTTTTGTACTATACAAAACAGAGGCTATCCTTGAGCCCTCAGTCATTTCCTGTCTAAACTTTACCAGGAATAGAAGAATTCATGCTAGGGCTGGATCTGCCATCTCTGCAATTAGTGTATATGTGTATTCATTATCATATTCTGGTGCTATATGTCTGGATTAGGCCTGGACCCAGAGACTACCATTTAACATGGAAATTGTGGGGAGCTATGGAAACTGATACTGTATTTGAGCTTGGGACTCTGGGAAGGTTTTCTACCTTAATGCATTTTTTTTTTTACCATTAAGGAAAGGCTGCTATGTAGAGGTAGCAACAGGAGTAGAATGGTTGCAGAAGCAGCAGAAGTAGCAGGAATATCAGCTACTCATTGAGAACTTGGTGAACTTAAAAACACCATGGTGAAGTGGTAGGGTAGGGGTGGAGGGTGCGAATCAAAGATTAATAAGACATGGGCTCTGTTCTATAAATCTTGGAAAGAGAAAACACAATTTGTATCAGAATTGTCTTATTACTTGGGACTCTAATGGACTTTAAATTTTTTTTTTTTTATTTTTTTGAGACAGAGTCTCACTCTGTTGCTGAGGCTAGAGTGCCGTGGGGTCAGCCTAGCTCACAGCAACCTCAAACTCCTGGGCTCAAGCGATCCTCCTGCCTCAGCCTCCCAAATAGCTGGGACTACAGGCATTTGCCACCACACCGGGCTAATTTTTTTTCTATTTTTAGTAGGGACAGGGTCTCATTCTTAATCAGGCTGGTCTTGAACTCCTGAGCTCAAGTGATCCTCCCACCTTTGCCTCTCCGAGTGCTAGGATTAGGGCATGAGCCACCATGCCCAGCTGACTTTAAATATCTTGAGGATTGCAGTAGAGTCTTAGTAAGTGTTATATCTATTGTATTATACTGAGCACAGTGCCTGGCACACTGTAGGTAGAATAAATATTTTTTTGGATGAATGAATAAATGTTAAAATAATTCATCAAACAGTGCAATTTGGAGATGGCTTACTGATAAGGAAAAAGAGTATCATGTCATTAGTAAGTTGTCTGATAGGTGTTGATTTTTGTGTGGAAAATTTGGGGCGGGGGGAACACCAGTGCATGTGGAAACTATGTTATGAAAATGTTTAACTAAAGAAGGTATTGGTTGATACTAAATTTTCAGTAATTCTTTTTTTTTTCTTCTGTAAATCTAAACAGACTGTTTTATTGCGGTTAGGTCGTGAGCGAAAGCGGCGAGGCCTATTTTCAGTAATTCTTGAGCATTATTTGTAGTGTATAGATAGGTTCAATTCTTCAAATAGTGAAGGACATTATGATCATATGTATGTTTTGCAGTAGGGGAACTCACTAGCCTACCATTTAGAAAAAATTCCTTAAAATCATCTCTTTCTTCTTGATCTGATTCTGTTTTTTCTAAGCAACTTTCTAACATGAGTATGGTTGTTTTTCATAGAAAAGTAAATACACCACTAACATAGATGTCTTAGATATTTCATTGTATGTTTATTTCAATAAGGTTGCCAATTTAGAAATGCCTGAGTATTGTGAGGCAGTTTTCCATGGGTTTGGTTAGCCCAGAATAAGCTAATCATTGATTTTTAGATCTGGAATATGTTGTAACAGGACCACTTATGATACCTGAAACATCTTAGAAAAGAATTGCCCCTTATATGGAATTTTATTTTTGTTTTATGGTGTGAAATTTGCATTACTTTCAATATATTGTAATGACAGCTACTTACTGTATGATATAAGATATTGAGTCTTTTAAAATTCTTAGAATTGTAAAATTCTGTAAAAACCTATTATCTGGAAAATCTTTTTAGGAATGGTGGTTGTGGATGAATTACATATGTTGGGAGACTCTCACCGAGGATATCTACTGGAACTTTTGCTAACCAAGATTTGCTATGTTACTCAGAAATCAGCATCTTGGTGAGTATCTGAAATAACTGAGTTCCTGAGGTTCCAGGGTTGAGGCAGTGTCTGCAAAAGCGCATAAGTATGAGTCAAATAAATTAGAGAAGGAGTCAATACTTTTTTTACTGAGAAAAACTCATGTACAGTAGTTTGTTTTTGTTCTAAAAGAAGTACTTCAGACTGAAATGTATTTTAAATTACTTTGTAAACATTCTTAAATTTCTGACGCTCACCACTTTATTTCAGTATACACACACTTTTATAAGTTTTTAAAAACATAGTTTTTGTCAACTATACATACATACAATTTTACTCAAAGCTAATTTTTGAAAATAACATTTCTCGAGCCCCCACTTTTCAGAGGTAACTACTTTCAATTCTTCTAGCTTTTTAAAAAATATTTACAGTGATATCTCTCAATGTGGCTACTTGAGTTTTTAATTTTAGACATTATATATTGATTTTTCCTATGGAAGATGAAGATCTAGCTATCTTTTATAGTCTTTACTCACCACTACCCAATCTTCTCCCCATCCTCTACTGTCTCTCCTTATCCTCTCATCATCTTTCCATTCTCCAAATTTAGTTATAATTTTGCTTAGATCATTAAGTCAGTATTACAATATTATGACTATATAAATGCAGTTGTCAACTTAGCAATAGTATATACTATCATGACTTTTACTTTTCCAAATAACTTTTTGTTTTTTCTGAAATTAGTATCTTTTTTGTTTGATGGCTTGGATTTCTAGATACTTACTGCTAATTTATCTCATCCTCAGTTATATAAATCTCCACCCAATGTTTTCCAGCACATTTGCTATTCTACCAAAGTTATCTTCTTGAGGAAGTTTCTCCTAAAGCTTTCTGAGTTGTTCCAGTCTGAATAGGCGGTTAATCTATATATGTGCTGCACTGCAGCCATCTTGAGATGATTTTGTTTGTTTGTAGAGACAGGGTCTTGCTATATTGCCCAGGCTAGTCTTGAACTCCTGGCCTCAAGCGATCCACCTTTGCCTCCCCCTTTATCATTGTCATTCATTTCTGTTGCTTTTTGCTTGAGTCAGAGGCCTCTTTTTTTATGGATCACATGTCTTTCTCTTGATTTACTTCCTCATTTTTTGGGGAATATCTTCCAGGAAGTTACATATTATTTCAGTGAACACACTACTATGGGTATAAATTTTTTGAGAACTTGCATGTCTGAAAATTCCTTATAAGTATTTCATAGATTGTCCAGGATAAATGTCAAGATTGAAAATACTTTTTCTTCAGAGTTGTCAAGGCATTACTTCATTTTTTCATTGCTATTGAGAAATCCAATGCCATGCCGATCCTTCATCCTTTGTATAACTTTTTTTTCTCTCTGGGAGTTTTTAGGCACTCCTCTTTTACCTTAGTGTTGTGAAATTTCATACTGATGTGTCTTGGTGTTGGTCTGTTTCATTCATTGTGCTGGGTATTCAATAGATGCATTCCACTTTAGGGAGATTTGAATACATCTCTCTCAGTATGTGATAGAACAAGCAGATAACCATCTATATCCAAATCATTAGGCATATACAAGATATGACTAATACAGTCAGCAAATTTAACCTAATGGATGTATGTATAACAGTTACCAAAACACAGTGGTGTATATATTCTTTCAGTTACACATAGAACATTTATTAATATTATGTACTGGGCCATAGAGCAAGTCTTAACATATTTTAAAGGATTAAAATGACTTAAATTATATTCTATGACAACAGTGGAATTAAGCTAGAAATAAGTATAATAAAAACATAACTAGAAAATGCCTACATGTTTGGAAATT